AGGTTCAAGATTATGCCAAAATTTCATGTTTTCCGGCCCGTTTTTGCTCATATCTCGGAGGCAAAATGAGCAAAAACGCTCATTTGTACATCATTCTAGAGAGAAATAAATGACCTTTTTAGAAAGTGAACCATCGATGAAGAAATGTTGGCAGTTTTCTCAAAAAAGGCTTGAATTCAAGAAGTTTTAGGTTTGCGTGTTTTTTTTTTGAGTTGCAAAATCCACTTGAACATGACGCTGCTTTTTTCGAAGTTTCTCAAGAACCATTCGAGCCACAGAATTCGTTTTGGCATCGTTGGATAGAGAATTGAAAACTCGATCCAGTCGTAACAACGTGAGTGAGGAAATTCGAGTAGTTTTGACCCAGAAAACGAAATTTGAAAATCACACACTTAGGTGCAAGATTATACCAAAATTCCATGTTTCCGTCCCAGTTTTGCTCATTTCTCGGAGGCAAACGAACGTGTAAAAACCGGCTCATTTAAAACTTCAATTGCCGAAATAATGGAAATTTTCGGCACATTTTAATCGTTTTTTGAGCATTCACGATCTTTATCCGACCATTTCTTCCTTATTATTAACCCAAACACTTTATAAATGCACATTCGTGACCTTCTTACGTCGAAAGGAGTCGATTGAGCTCAAAAAACACGCATGTGAAATTTTTATTTTTGGTCGAAATTTTCCCAAGGGAGGTATCTAGGGGGGCTAAAGCCCCGGGCCTCACGATGTCGGGGGCCTGGGTAAGATCTATACTGCGGCTTTTGTTTTTTTTAGAAGAGCCTCTGCAGGAATCGTAGCCCCGGGCTTTACCACAAGTTAATCCTACCCTACCTCCTGGTATAGGAAAAGGGTGCAACGTCGATATTTATTAGTGGCCATCTATCAAGGCCCTGGGCCTTGCTTTAATGAATATAATATATTGTTTTTCGGCGTGTTATTGACAAATAATCATTATTTTCCCCCTACAAACAAGACTGCCATTAGGCAAATGTCAATATTCCCGGAATTGTATTAACTGATGATGAAATGCTGTATTTCAAACATGCGGTGTGGAAAAATTCGATATAAAATGAGCCAAAACGAACGCGGCGATTGCGTTTAGTAGATGGAATTTTAGCTCCTTTGAAGGAAATGGAGAATAATTTAGGCTTTTAAGGGCGCACTCTAAATATCCAATATTGGCTTCAAATTTAAAACTCGTATTCTAGACCGTTGATTGGGGGGCTTCAAAACATCGAGCAGACCGAGCCCAATTAAAATATGCATTTTTCCTCAAATATTTGCTCCATTTTGACTAAGCGCTTTACTAGTTAGCTTAATTAAAAGTTCCCTTCTACGGGCTACGACAAGTCGGAAGCCAATTAAGTCAAAAGATTTAAAGAAACTTTAAAGTTTCATAGACTGGAAAAGTCGCTCAAGGGGAAGCGGAAAAAAACAAGTTTCTTTTCATAGGATGTACATTTTGGTTTCAGTCTAAATTAGTCCCAGTGTCATCAATTTTGCGCTTTGCTCTCCAAATGTTGCAAAATCTGCACAATTATTGTCTTGTCTTGTGTGGCAATTATTGGCCAAATATTGAATTCTACAGAAAATTGTTGCGATTTATTCCGACTTGCAAGGGGTGTCGCTTGGAAATTAAAAAACTCCTAATTTCTGCCGCAGAAGAAGCAGAAAATTGAAACGTTCAAGCTTCAAGAAGGCTTGAATCACGGCACGGCAAATTTCTTTTCCACAGTTTCAGAGTATTCAGCTTGTTGAACAAAACAAGTTGATAAATGTTGGCCGAAAATTGAACTCTTTGTGTCAACTGCACCGTTTGCTTAAAACATTCCTGACTTCTGATCCAATAGAAGCAGCACATTGAGACTTTTTCAATCGGTAGAAGACACTTGAGTAGCAACGCCGTGAAAATTTCATGAACACCTGACTTGTTTGAACCTGCTGATCTGCTCCATTGTTAAGTGGTTAAGTATTTTGGCAATCGACTAAGACGTAAGCCCACAACAGCCCAAATCCCCAATATTTTCCTTATTCTCAAACTATCACAATCAATCATGCTTCGGATAAGTTGAAATACAACAAAGCAGCCTCCAGAGCCCGGAAAACCGCGACTAGTAAACATGTATCAATCATTCATCGATACGATCCGCATTTGCATTTGACCATTATCAGGAAAAATCCAAAGTTCATTTAATCATTTCCCTGCCAGGCAGGGAAAATCGCAACTGTTGTCAATGTGAAACTCGATTCCAAGAGGCTTTTGATGAAAATCTCGACTGGATGTTAATTCTCGTAAAAACAGGACAGTGCTTTAACGAAACTAACGAGATTGCACTTGGACGGTACACAAAGGCGATCGCTCAAGGCACCAGAGTAATTTAATATCACGTTGTGAAAGTTGCATTTCGCATTTTACATTCTCAGTTTTAGGGCCGCATTTTTATTTTTAGTTAGCGTGGGGTCGCACAAAATCCCCTTATTAACTTGCCTCTCTTCACGGTTGATGTTCTGAATCTAAATGGGCGCACGTTTCCCTCTCTTGGCCTTTTCACATTATTCATCAACTGACCGGGAAATTGAGTTATTCGAGTCCCTTCTGTTTTGTATAGAAAAGCCTTGCACCTGAAGAAAAATCGCCGAAATCGACTAGGAAAGTGAGCAGAATAGAATGAAGTTGCTGCAGTTAATTAACACAATGATGTGCCGACCAGCTGGAAAAATGTTGGTTCAATTTGTTATTTTCATCCATTACCTTGATGAACTTCTAAAAGTTAAACCATTTCGCATAGGTAGACGATAAACTGGCTGATTCGCTTGCCTCTGATAGACTCGATTCGAGTTTTCTGGGGAAACTAAGCGAAACAAACTGTGCAAAGCACAAAAGACTGCGCCATTCATAAGGATGTTTATGGGTAATTCAATATCGGTAATTTGTCTTTAATATGTGCGGCCCTTCAGCGTTCGACATACACACAGAACTTAATCACAGTCCATAAACATGAGCCCGAAGGAATGTTCACTTCCAGTCCATTAGAAACCAGATCCATTTGAATGCAAGATGAACGTAATAAGAAATTGTAATATAATATTCTATATGGCATGGCGTATTAAAAGCCCGAAAGCGCGATTCAAAATTAAATTTTGTGCCTGGTCCATGTGAAGCTTATTGCATGAATAAATTGTTTTAGTCTTCATGCCTCCTTTTCAAGCAGTGCTTTTTATTTGCAGGCGCGCCTCATAATCAAATGCGATGCCAGGAGCAGATGAGAAAATGTGCATTCTAATTTGTGGAGAGAAACAAGGTGAGCAACGGCAATTTATATTCCGCTCCTGCCATGTAGCATGTCTGGGGGCATGAAATATTGCGTCAAAAAAAGGAGTTTTTCCTCATTAGTCACCTTTGGAAGCAGGTTGTCCTCAAAGATGAAAAATGGGCGCTTACCACAACATATCCTGTGACTCCGAGACTGGCAACTACTCGACGATCTTCGGCCGAACGTACGCTCCCCAATGGGAATCCTTGCTCACCGTCATCACGCTCGGCTTCATCATCCTGCTTACCATCATCGGCAACATTCTGGTGATTCTGGGCGTCTTCACCTACAAACCGTTGCGGATCGTGCAGAACTTCTTCATAGTGTCGCTGGCCGTTGCCGATCTAACAGTGGCCATTCTGGTCCTGCCCTTAAATGTGGTCTACTCAGTGGCGGGCGAATGGGTGTTCGGGATTCACTTGTGCAAAATGTGGCTCACTTCCGACGTGATGTGTTGCACTGCATCCATTCTGAACTTGTGCGCCATCGCTCTGGACCGATTCTGGGCCATTACTGATCCCATCAACTATGCTCAGAAGCGAACGCTCAAGCGCGTTTTAGTGATGATTGCCGTCGTTTGGCTGCTGTCGTTGCTCATTTCGTCACCGCCTTTGATCGGGTGGAACGACTGGCCCGACATCGATGTGTTCCTGCAGAAAAAAGTCTGCAAATTATCCTCCAGACAGGTTGGGCTGATGTTCTCTCACTCTCGCTTAGCATAATCGCACAATTGGAACGCCACTAAAACCGAATGCTAATCCGAAATCATGCTCAATTGTCAATTCAGGCGAGCAGAGCGTTTTGATGTGTTTTATTCCCATTCCGTTTTCGGGCGTTTCGCGACATTAACAGCGCCAAATAAATTATCCTCGCTAAGGAATAACTGGCAAATTCCCGATTAGCATTTCAAATATCCAGCATTTCTGT